AAAAAAAAAAAAAAAAGACAAGCAAATAGTGTAGAAGTTTGACAAAATAGGGCATTAATCTGTGAAATCGTGTCAAAGCAAGTTTGATTACACATTTCATCAAGTTTTTATAATCCCAAGAAATAATCAAACAAATGGAACAATTCGAAGATTTATCGAAATAGTAAGGTACTTCTAAGCTAACACAAAATTTACTTAAAAACACATCAAACGAAGTTCAAAAAATAAAGAGAAGAAAAATATAAACTATATAAAAAAAACAGGAATTAGCGTTGGATAGACTCCATCGCTAAACAACATATTCTGTCGCAAAACCAGTTTAACGACTAATTATACAAAATTCAGTTAGCTAAAGATTATTTAGCGATAGATCAACGTCTAATTTCGTAGTTAATTCTTGTCTTCTTAATTGAGATAAACATTTTTCTCCCTGCCTAATTGAACTAGATGAAGAAGAAAAGAATGGAACTTACATGGAGCGTGGCTGATACAGAAACTCTACCAATATTCAAAGTAATGGGAAGTTTCTCTTCAACTTCAGACACCATTTTTGAAGCCATTTCTGCTACATTAACCACCATTTTTCCAATCACCACCATTTTTGCTTCCAAATTACTCGAGTATAAGACATTAAACGAGACATCCCAAGGCGAATACTTTAGACTTTGATAACAACCAGAAACCTCTGTAAAACAACAAATATTCTCAAACTCATCTCCATCATTATCCCATTCAATGGAATTAGCTGCTTGTCCTAATTTCTTCACAATTCTCCGACTTGTAATATCTTTCTTCTGCTTATAATGAAATGGGACTAATCCAAACTTGGGTTCACCTTTCCATTTCATCTTAATTGCCATCATCTTCACCTTTTTAGGTTCTTGATTGACCCCATCAAATGCTTCAATATTATCATCAACTCCTAATTCTAGCTTCAACGTCCTAATTTTCACCTGAAACTTTTTAATTTTCACCATCTTCACCACCATTCAAATACTATAAGACTTTGTTGAAGAAAGAAAAATATATTGCTATGTATATATATAATGATAATGAGAAGAAAGATAGTTTCCTTAGCAAGCAATGAATAAGAGGAAGGAGATGAGAAAATATATACAAATTCAAGAAAAGAAGAGGTAAAAGGGAGTTGTCATAGGACAAATGAAGAAGGGACACGTAAACGCGGGAAAGGAATTTCAACACGTGGGGGTTACGCGTGTGTTTAGAGGAACCAAATCTTATGACGGATATATTCGTGTAAAACATGAGAACGAAGTGTACTTTTTGTTCCCCCAACGTGTTAAATTTGTTTCTAATTGTTCCCCTTTTGAAGTTCAAACTTCAAACTATACAAATATAATACTTCATCCGTTTCGGTATAAATAAACTAGTTTGACTCGATACGGAGTTTAAGAAAAAAAAAAATTAAAATTTATAATCTTAAAAGCTTAAGAGATAAAATTTTTATGAAGCCATAACATTTGTGTAGTTATCAAAACTTCTCATTAAGGATAAAATGGGTAAAACAAAGAATTTAAAGTTGAATTACTTTCAAATTTAGAAATATGTCATATATTTTGGAACATACTAAAAAAAAAAATATCTCATCTAATTTGAAACGGAAAGAGTATTTTTAACACGGGATATAACATTTTGGAGCTATTCTATCTTATTCGATATACGAAAATTTATTCTAGAAATTGTAAGTCTTTTATTTGACTTGTAACTGGTATCGTAGAAGGCCTTTCCTTGAATTATTTCATTCAATAATGTCCATTTATACTTTGACCAAAAAAAAAATGAATTTCATTTAAACTCTTTTTTAATTGATCTAACCAAAAGATGATCAAACACCTTAACTAGATAAATGTTAGAAGCTGTTTGTGTTGGCAAATTCCATATAAGCTATGTATACAATATTAATTTAAAATTTAGTAACTTAAAAGTACTAAAATTTTGAACCCATAAACTTCAAATTCTAATTTAACTATGTAACAATCATTGCAATAGTCTAAGGCTCAAAGGGAAGACGCTTGGAAATCGCTTTTTCAGTTGAAAGCACAAGTCATCTTAGCGTGGTATATATCGGAATTTCCTATCTCCTAATAATGATCATTACAACAGAAGGGTATAAGAGACCTCAAGTTTAAGACGTAAGGTTAACATTATCACTAGTTCAGATTTAAAATTTACAAACAATGACTAACTCAATCAGTCTGCGGAGACAAAAATTTATGAAGGGATTCGACGAAATGTTCTCTCGTATTTAGCGGATCCAATAGTACACACAAAATAAAATTTCACCTATATACACAATACAATTTTGGCGAAGGGATTTAGTTGAACCCCCTTCAATAAACGTGACTCTGCCACTGCACTTCAATAAACGTGACTCTGCCACTGCACTCAATTGGGCTTTCATATGCTGTTCAACTTTACTTAAGTTTACGCAAATTCAACATTCAACTGAAAAAATGAAATATGATGAAAGAAATGAACAAGCTTAGCATCATACAACATCGAAGGGTGATTAACAGCCTAAAGAAATATGAAAAATGAAGTGCTTATATTACATCATTAAAAGAAAAAGAAGAGCTGAAATAAAGTTTGAAAATAGGAAGTTTTAATTAAACCAAAATCAATTTTCCAAACTCTGTTGAATCATAGTGAGGCTCTTTGCAAAATACTTAAAATAAAGATCTTTGCGTCCTCCTTGCAAGTTGCAACTAACTCAACAGATGAACGATCGTATCAAACAGATACATGACAAGGCAAGAGAATGATAAGATTTACCTTAATCGCTTTTCTTGCACGCCTAGGCAAGATCATAGCGGTAAATAGCTGCTAGTTTAGTAGCACTGTGAACTACTATGAACACAGACCAACACGCCAAAATTTGGCAAATGGGGATCTTTACTAGAAGAAGCAGAAAAGAAAGTGAAGTTGAAGAGCACATTATATCTCCATTGACTGTGGCGCAGCCGAGGCTTTAGATTTCTTTTTTCCTTTTCTATTTCCATTTTTATTTTCCCTTCTTTTTGGCTTTTCATCCAGAGTCGGCTGCGTGCTTTGCAGATGTTGATGAATGGCACCTAGTGGATCTGCCTGGAAAGCAGGATGATTAATAACTGCTTGAAACTGATTGCCTTCCTTCAACCTGTTGGAAGTACACATTCTTAGGAACAAATTGCTCTATCATACAAAGGACAGGGGCTTTTGAAAGACAAACAAAGTTTTAAGCACTCACACTAAATTTTTCCTATTTTTACTTTTCAACTTGAACTCTGCAGGTTTTGGTTGCTGAGAGGCTTTTAACTCCGGGAGAAACTCTGTAAGTTCAGAAAGATCATAAGCCTTCAACTTCTTTTGCCTGCTTCTTACTTTTTTCTTCTGGCAGAAAAACAAATCACCAATTCAGCAGAATAAACACAGGGTATAGTTTCAAGAGAAGCATCAACAGGGTACCCTCTAAATTTTGATTATTCAATTCATTAATAGAGAACTGTTGCACTATGTTATATTGTATCATGCAACCAACTCCTATGTCCAACATTAAAAGTGAAGTGTATCCTCCAGCCATCATACTGTAGAACCACTGTGGGATCTTCCTCAAAAAACACTTAACAAACCATGAAGCTAGATGCAAATTTTGGGACTTAATAATCAAGAGTTAAGTGACTGAAACCACATGAAAGAATTTGGGACAAAATGGAACTGACTTGTTAGAGTGCATGAAAATGGAAGGGGCAAAAAAGAAAATAGGAAGTTAATTTTGGGGCTGGTGAAGGCGTGTTGGATAGCAAGTTGGCAACTAGTAGAACTTATCTCAACACTTCTTTGTATCTTAGAGTTAATGACAAACTCACGGACAAAATAGTGCAGGACCTATAGATATCGAGATTCAAAATTGCAAAAGATACAGCGAGACACATAAATAATCAACTTCAAGGAATCATTCTATATCCCAATAGACATATTAGCTGAGGTAAAAACATCATTCAACTTAAGAAAATCACAACATCCATCCAATCTTATAGCATCTCCTGGGAATGTCATCCCATTTAGAGTGCCAAAAGCAGAAAAAGAGCGCAAAGAGGCAACTGATCAAGACGAGACTTATTAGACCATTATGTTCACACTGTCCATCTTAGAAGAATTCACACTTGATACCAATGCCAACCTTCACTATCTGGTCTCTTCAACCGGAATAACCTTCTTCAATTTTTTTATTTTCCATAGTTAAGTCAAATAAAAGGAGCACCCACAGAGATTGTACACTCCCAATTTCTGCTGTAAACATGCCAGGACATGCATTCATCCAGGATTAGCATGTTACCACATATATTAAACTAGAGCGCGTGAAAGAAAGTGCGCAAGTCAGTATAAAAGGAAAGCAAAATAAGGCTTTATTCTAACTAATTTTCTTCATCTATTTTTGGCTATAGAGGTAGAGACGAAACATTTTAGATGCATCATTCAGTTGTACAGTTGTATCTAGCAGCAGAGCTAGAAACCCCTGAGTGGAGTATTCCTTATAGTCTCAAGCTAAAGTCACCAATGATTGAAAGCCTAGAACAAATAACAAAGTTTCTGAGAACACAAACCTTAGTAATAGACTTCTGGGCAGCTAATGAAGTAACTGTCTGTCTAACCTCTGTAGAAAAAACCATGCGAAATAGGCATTAGAAGAACACTCATTAGATATGCCAACTCAAAATAGATAGTATGCCATAACATAGAAAAAGGAAAAAGGAAAAAGGAGACATCTATTAGAACAAAACCGAGTATAGGGTAAAGTAAATTACTAGCATAGAAGTCGAGTTTCTTTTCGAATTTACGTTCAGCTCGAGCGGCTGCATCTCCGCTGATATACATAAACGGAAAAAAGTGAGTGTGAAAAACAAAGGTAATAGACAAAATACAAGGCTTAATAGTTAAGATTTCCCTCACCGTGAGGTTGTCTTCCCCATGCTTAACGGGTAGTAAGAGCAGCCGCCTTTGCTGTTGAAAAGCTAGGGCAAGAATACAGGGAAAATTTAATGAGGATAGCGATTTGCAAGACGAAGCTGAAGACGATAAAGATTGGGAACACCTAATTAATGCCTATTCATTGAGATTAGTTAGTTTTGGATTTATGATTTTTGAATTTTGATTGTTGGGTTGTGCCGTTGTGGGCCTCTACTATATGCTGCAGTCTATTGTGAGATTACATTATTGGGCTGTCCTCTTTTGAGGCGCAAAAAATGAGGCTATATAGTGGAATTTTCCCGCAAAAAATTGCAGAAATACCATACTTTTTGGGATGGTCTTTAATTCTTGACACTCATTTGTGCTCATGGGTAGAACTTCAAGGTCAAAAGCCAAAAGTGTTGCCCATAAAATATTTGTTAAACTTGAAGTTTTGCTCATGGAACAAGTGGTGAGAAAAATCAAAAAATTACCAGTTATATCCGCCCATAAGTAAGTTATTACAAAAGTTGGCCAATTCATAAGATATTATCAATATTAACCAAATACTATCAATATTAGCCAATTAGCTATTTGTAGTAAAAAAAATTAAAGGGGGGAGGTCAACTTTTTTGCTTTATTTTTAGTGAATGTTGTTGGAATAAATTTGGTACATCTTAAGGAGTTTGAATCTCAATTTTGGGATGATTTAGTAGAGTTTTGAGGTGGTTTGAATTAAAAATTTGAAGTATAAGATGAACATGGAAAAAGATGATCTATGGATCACACTGTGTATCATTTGTGTATCACACATATATATCATATGTATATCAAATGTGTATCACATGTATATCTATGTGTGAGATGCATGTGTGACATATGTTTGATACATGTGTTGCAGAAAAATTATAATATCGATTTTATCTACAAATTTTGATACCAAACCAGTCCAAATCACATCCAATCTTACTCAAATTTTGTATATTTCCTCATCAATATGTTTTCAACGAATTTTAACCATACCCATTGAAAAAAGTCTTTTTCTGCCTAATTTTTTAAATAATTTTATATTATTGATAATGAATTTTGACTCCAAACTAGTCTAACTCGCCTTCAAACTTTGTCAAATTTTGTATATTGCCTCGTCTATGTGTTTTTGCAACGAATCACGGCAATACCCATTGAAAAATAATTTTTTTTGCCTATGATTTTTGAATATTGTATATCATTGATAATTGTTTTCACTATTTTTTGTAGTATAACTAGAATGGCTAGTTATTAGTAAATAGAGTCTTTTTTTTTTCTACATTCACCATCCACTTTAAGAGTCATTTGTGTATCACATAAATACTTTGGTTGAGAAAATTATCAAAACGGTCTTAAATGTATGGGGTTTGTTTATTTTGGTCCTTAATATATAACAACTTACAGAATTAGTCCTTACTGTATGATGAAATTTAACAATTTTGATCCAAATCCTAAAAACTAACCTTTTCTCCCCCAAAATCCATGTCAAATAAACGGCTGACCTATGAGCAAGTCACTGCTCTGTCAAAACAAATAAGACAAAGGGCAGTGGGGCCGGTGGGGCGGTTACGATGCAGGTTCAACCTTGTATAGCTAAGATTTCAACTTGCACCGCATAGCAAAGTTTCCCGTTCTCGACCCCGCACCGTCCTATACTGCATAAACCCGCTCCACCCCAACTCCGTTTAATTTTTGAAAAAAAAGAAGACTTTTCTTTCTTTTGTATTTTTAAGGAGTAGTTTTTCCTTTTTTTTACGAGTTTGATTTTAAGAACAAGTCCTTGTTTTAATTTGTTTGAATTGTCTTCAAATTTTCATATATATTGTATACGGTCGAAATAGATTTTGGCCTACCTACGTTCGATCGAGTTCGAGTAGCAAGAAACCAGAGTGAGATTTTGGGAGTGAGCTCCTAAGACAGTACAAATGAGCCTCGAGTCCGAAGGCTGCTCGAGGAGTCAACTCGATAATCTTATCGAGCCCGTGACCAAATCGATCCGTAAGGCATTGCTTTGAGGTCGAAAATGCGCCACGCCCATCCCGAAGGTCGAACTCAAGCCAGGACCGAAGGGCTCGACCCAGTAACGAGTTCGAGCCAGTATCGAGCTCACTCACAAGAGTCGTTATAACCGCACCAAGAGAGAGAATCTTGGCGGAAATCGAGGAAAAGACAAATCATCATGGGTCCTCCACTATATGCTTTATTTTATTATTTTTTGTTATAAATAAAGTAAAGACCCTCTATTATAAAAGATGGGATCCTTGTAAGCTATGCATATACTGAATACACTGGAACAAAAGATCTTTTCTCATAAATAAAAATATCTCCTTGTGCTTGTTTTACTTCATCTTACTTATTCTTTCTGTTCATTATTCCCATTCTCATAGTCAAGAATACTCGTATTGCTATCTTTGTATCAAAGGGTATCACGTATCCTTAGAACCATACATAAATTTAACGTTGTCTGCTTTTTCGGGAAAATAGTTTGGCGTCCACCGTGGGGCTAAGGATAACAGTGATTGTTTGATATAAAACTGCGGTGCACACCAGTTTACAATTTCAAATCAGCAATGGCTTTACCTATCAATCACGAAGCCGACCTTCAATAGGAAACCAACAACTTGGCACCCCGGGGGCAGAAGGCCACTTGACGATGGCACTGAGTCTCAAATCGAAGTACCCGAATTCGAGCCAAAGTACCAATGGATGTCAATTCACAAATAACTCTGGAGGCGAATCAACGTTCCATTCAGGGCTGTACTCGATCCGTAGCCCGAGACACCCATAACGCGGGGGAAATCGAAGCCAGCTTACGTATGATCTTCGAGATGCTACAAGCCCAACAAGTAGTGATAGCCCAGTTACAGAGCCAAACTCATATACAAAGTAGGCTGGATCCCAATCCGCTTCGAGAAATCACCCCTAGAACGGAGCCATAGTGAAATAAAACAAGCAAGAATCGGGGACCACTCCCGAAATTACTAAATTGTTCGAGGAACTCACAAAACGAGTCGAAGCCAACGATAAAAGAGTGGAAACATACAATGTCAGGGTCAATCAAATCCCGGGGGCTCCACCAATGATAAAAGGGCTTGATTCCAAAAAATTCATACAAAAGCCTTTTCCCTCGAGTGCATCCCCAAAACCAATCCCCAAAAACTTTCGTATGCCCGAAATTCTCAAATATAACGGTACGACCAATTCTAACGAACATGTCACCTCTTACACATGTGCCATCAAAGGTAACGATTTGGAGGACGATGAGATCGAATCCGCGTTGTTGAAAAAGTTTTGGGAGACCCTCTCGAAGGGAGCAATGATCTGGTATCATAATTTACCACCATATTCCATCGATTCTTTTGCCATGTTAGCAGATTTGTTCGTAAAGGCACATGCTGGTGCCATAAAGGTTGCAACAAGGAAATTAGACCCCTTCAAAGTAAAGAAAAGGGGTAATGAAATGCTGATGGAATTCATATCCTGATTTCAAATGGAACGCATAGAATTGCCACCGGTCACAGATGATTGGGTCGTACACGCTTTCACCCAAGGGTTTAACGAGCTAAGTTTGACAACATCATGTCGGCTGAAGCAAAATTTGATCGAGTATCCGGCAATAACTTGGGCAGCTATACACAACCGATATCAATCAAAAATTAGGGTCGAAGATGACTAGTTGTGAGCTCCGTATGAACCCATGCATCAGAACAGGACATCTACTAAAAACCAAAGGGAGATCGACAGAGAACAAAGGTCGAATAGAGACCGATATCAACCGTACGTCGTAGATCGGATGAACAACGGTTCAACACGCAATACAGTTCAGAACAATCGAAGGATTGATCGAGGGCAAAATTCTCGGGGACTTATGAGCAAGAGGGGCTTTGATAATTATGACATTCCTATAGAAGCACTTCGGTTATCAGAGTATAACTTCAGCATTGGTGCATCCGCCATCGTGTCGGTTATCGGACGCATCAAAGACACTAAGTGGCCTCGACTCATGCAGACCGATCCTGCCCAAAGGAGTCCCAATCAAATGTGCGAATATCATGGCACCCATGGCCACATAACGGAAGATTGCAGGTAACTAAGAGAGGAAGTAGCCCGCTTATTTAACAAAGGGCACCTTCGGGAATTTTCGAGTGATCGGGCGAAGAACCATTTTAAAAACGGGGATTTCGGCAAGCAAAATGAACAAGAAGAACCGCAGCACGTCATTCACATGATCATCGGCGGCACCGATACCCCTCAGGGACCAGTGCTTAAACGCACTAAAACACCGATTGTGAGGAAAAAGAGATCTCAAACTCAAGATTACTGGTAATATCCGTACTTATGAATAAGACTAAAATTAAGCGTGTGTTAATCGATCCAGGTAGCTCAACCAACATCATCAGATTGAAGGTTGTAGAACAGCTCGACCTGCAGGATCAGATCGTACCCGCAACTCTAGTTCTAATCAATATGGCATGTGAAACCACCAAAGGCGAGATAATCCTACCAATAAACGTGGCCGGAACCATCCAGGAAACAAAGTTTCACGTGATCGAAGGCGATATGAGATACAACGCCCTTTTCGAAAGGCCATTGATCCACAACATGAGAGTTGTACCTTCGACCCTATACCAGGTCCTCAAATTCCCAACATCGAGAGGTGTCAAAACAGTGTATGGAGAACAACCAACCGCAAAATAAATGTTCGTAGTCGAGGAAGCGAAATCAATATCCTCGCCTTCATCGAAAAAGGGATCAGGCTCAGAAGGAGAATGGGACACCAAATAGCAATCACAGATGTCGGCTTCGACCCAGCCAGATAACCAGAAGATCGAAGAAGATGATGATCAAATGGTCCCTCGATCTTTCATGATTCCTGATGACTCCGACGCCACCAAATCAACAATTGAGTAACTAGATCAAGTCATGCTAATCGAGCATTGTCCCCAGCGAAAGGTATACTTGGGAACGGGGTTGAGCTCCGAACTCAGGAAGAAACTTGTTCAATTTCTTATCGATAACATTGATTGTTTTGCCTGGTCCCATTTAGATATAACATGGATCTCACAGGACATAACGACGCATCAGCTAATCTTAGACCCTAGGTTCAGACCGGTGAAGCAAAAGAGAATACCTCGGTCCGAGG